CTGGACTTGGTCAGAGCAAGGATGGCTGTGACGCCCAAGGAAATGTGAGTCTTGTCATGGGGTCCGTGCTGGGTGCTGTCACCAGTAGAGGTGTGTGTGGTGCTCACTGGGGATCCCTCCAATGAGTGAGATTCTGCAGAGTTCCAGAAAGCACCATTTGTTCTCAAACACACCTAAGGGTAACTGGCACACACCTTTCTTTAATCCCAGCACTTGGGAGGCAGTGGCAGGCCAATCTCTGCGTCAAAGCCAGTCTGGTCAACAGAGTGAGTTCCAGGACAGACAGTCACGGCTACACGGAGAAATCCTGTCTCGGAACAAACAAACAAACAAACAAACAAACAAACAAACAAACTAGGATTGGGCCTGGAGAGGTGGCTGAGAGTGAAGAATACTGTTTGCTGTTGCAGAGACCTGTGCTCAATACCCAGCACCTGTGTGGTGTCACAGCTGTCTGTAACTCTAGTTCCTAGAGATGGGACACCTCTTCTGTCTTCTTTCAGTATGTGCGCACATACACATGCACACATGATACGTAGACATACATCCAGACAAAACACCCATAGACACTAAGAGAGACAGAGTCAGAGAGCCAGGTGTGTGTGTGTGTGTGTTGCCACATAAAATTTCAGCAGAAGCATAGGCAGACAGATCTCTGAGTTTGTGAGTTTGTGGCCAGCCTGGTCTACATAGATAACTCCAGGCTAGCCAGGCCTATATAGTGAGGCCCTGTCTCAAAACAAAACAGACAGAAAAACCAAAGCTGGAGGGTTGAGCATCAAGGCAGAGATACGAGGGTTTCTGTGATTTTGAAACCAGCCCGGTCTACTTAGCAGCTCAGGGACTAGGACACTTGCCTGGCATATGCACAGGGCATTGGTACCAGTCCTGTACCTGACAGAGCAGGTAGGCCGTCTCCATGGAGTTCCCTCACTCTTTTGAACAGGAGGTGGGAATGGGGTACAGGCACTAAGCCCTGTAACATGGTCCCGGCAGGTACAGCAACATCTTTCACGTCTTCATCCGCATCTCTAGAGAGGAAGGGCTGAAGACCCTCTACTTCGGGTTCACACCCACTGTGCTGGGCGTCATTCCCTATGCAGGACTCAGCTTCTTTACCTACGAGTCGCTGAAGAGCCTGCACAGAGGTAAGGGAGGTGGAGTGAAGAGGGAGGATTTCAGGGACCCATTTCTGTTCAGTTCTGTAGAGAGGGTCTCACCATGCGACCCAGGCTGGCCTCAAGTTCTTCTTGCATCCAAGCAAGACCTTAAATTCCTCCTCATTCTCCTTCTTCCACTTCTCTAGCTGTCTCCCCACACTAATCTCACGAGGTGCTGGAGATAAAACTGAACCCCAGGGCCTTTTGCATTTTAGGGAAACACCCTGCAAACAGGCAGCTCCAGTCCCCCAGGCGTTTTTGTTAAATAGAAAGTATCTGGGGAAGTTGAGGCCTCTCACTGGGACTATGGGTGGCATTCCTGAAATCACTTCAAAATCTAGGAGTGGTGGGTGCCCCTGTGATCTAAGCGTTCAGGAGAATGAGGCAGGATTGCTGCAGGAACAGGGCCAGCCTGTGCCACATAACAAGACCCTGTATAAAAAACTGAAGTATGTGGGGTCCTTGCGTCCTTCTATGTGGTGGTACAGTGTCAGTGTAGAGCCTGCACCTCCTCCACAGCTCACCTGCGGCAGCAAGGCAGCCGCCCGCATGCGGAGATGCTGTGTGTTCAGCTGGCAACAATGACAAGAAGAAAGTCTGCACACAGCACAAATATAGGATATTAAACCCCCTTCATTTAGCTGAGTATGGTGGCTCAGGAGACTGAGGCAGGAGGATGGCATAAGATGGAAGACAGCCTGGACTACCCAGGGAGACTGTCACAGACCAGAAAGTGACGATAGGACCTGTCCATCCAAGGGTACCTGAGCCTGTGCTCCAGCACCTGCAGGTGCTTGAGGACCCCTGGCCGCCATGACCTAAGACTCTGCAGCAACATGCTTGTCTCTTCCTTTCCTGCCGTGCGGGCTGTGCTGGGCACTTGCTCGATGGAGCACTACCCGTAGCCCCCAGCAGGACACTAAGAGACCACATTCTCCCAGCTGTCCCCACACATTGCTAGAGTCTCATTATTTTACTGAGGTCAGGCAGATGTACATCCTCCATGTAGGAGGATACTGTCTGGGTAGCCCTGTACTCTTAAGGGTTCAAGTGTCCATAGAGAATCTTGGGATGCACCCCCACAAATGAGGGGGCACCGAAAACTGCAGGATGGGGAACTGTGACCTTGTAAATCTCATTGTTGCAAAATGTGTCTTTTATTAGGCTGGGGCGTGGCTCAATGGCAGATTCTGATCTGGCATACATGAAATCCTGGGTTCCATTCCCTGTACCAAAACTTAATAAAGGGTGGTCAGGAAGTGAGGCCTTAGAATCTGCAAGTGTGGCACTCATGTGCCCTCTGCCCTGCAGAGTACAGTGGCCGCCCGCAGCCCTACCCCTTTGAGCGCATGGTCTTCGGGGCCTGTGCTGGCCTTATCGGGCAGTCAGCCTCCTACCCTCTGGACGTGGTGCGGCGGCGCATGCAGACGGCAGGTGTCACAGGCCACCAGCATGGGTCCATCCTGAAGACACTGCGCTCCATTGTCCGTGAGGAGGGTGCAGTGCGGGGCCTCTACAAGGGCCTGAGCATGAACTGGCTGAAGGGCCCAATTGCCGTGGGAATCAGCTTCACTACTTTTGACCTCATGCAGATCCTGCTGCGCCAGCTACAGAGCTAGGCCCACACAACAGTGGATGGTGAGCTGGTGGATTGAGGGCATGCAGCTGTGCACTGGCAGCCCTGGTAGTACCTTGAGGAGGATGGGCAGGAGGGTGGGACCTGACTTGGGGATGCAGGGCCCATAACAAAGTGCTGGCCCTCAGGGTATGACATTGTGATGATGGATCTTGGTTGTGCCCCTTCCTTCAGCTCCTTGCTAGTGGTTGGTGAGTTTCCCAGGGGCATTACCCAAAGGTCCCTAAGGGGTCAGCTACACTTCCTGACCCCTTCTTCTGACCTGCTGCTGATTCTAGTGCCCACTGGCACACTGGGCTCAGAGCCCATCCCTTCTTGCTACAACTGTGCCTGGCCTGCAGATGTGACGGCCATTCCCTCAAAACTACACAATAGAGGGTTGCAGCTTGCTTAGTGGTGGCTGTACCTGTGTCTCAATCCTCTACCGTGCTGGCTCATCCTCTTCCAGGTGACAGATGGCTGCCCTTGCCCACAAAGCTTTCTCCCCAGAGCACTATACCCATCTTATTTCTGAGGGCTGCACCTCACCTTTGCCAACCACCTGGCTTGTAACCTTTCCAGGAGGCCCATGGCCACCAGGCAGGAGAGGCAGGTACAGACCCCATTGGAAATGCCCATGTGGGTCTCCCTCACCTGGGATGTCTTCCAAAGCATGTCGCCTGGGCCCCCAAACAGGCCCAAGGCTCTTGTTTGCACAGCACCCATGAAGACGGGGTGCAAACTCCTGAAACTGCCCAACCCTGAACTCTGTGTTTTCTGTGGGTCCCTGGTCCCTACTGAAGCTGTTATTCAGCCAGGCCAAATGAAGGCCCAAGATGGGCAGCTCGGCCTGTGTGAATGAATGCAGAGGTGTCTTGGACACCTAGGGACTGCCAGCCAGCTTATCTCAAGGAGAACTCTCCTGGAGTCCCCAGGGTGTCACAGGGACTTCATGCCTTTCTTGAGGTTTGGAGTTCTTGATTTGGGGTCTTTGAGACTGCACCCCCTAGAAGCCCTGGCTAGTGTGCCCTCAGTGTGCCGCCTGGGCTAGCTTCCAACTTGCAGCAGCCCTCCCGCCTCTAGAATCTGGTTTTCAGCGCATCCTGGCACACACAGAATCCCTGTGCAGTCCAGCTCTGGCTCAGGTGAGCTGGTGCTGACTCCCTCCCACAGCTGGACAGCAGCCATCTCACTTAGGGGCTGAGCGGGGTGGCTTGACCCCCAGGCATTTTCAGTCTGGACTGCGGTCCTTCTCATTCCTGTATTTCTTACCTTGTGCCTGTGATGGGGCCATCCCCACCATGTCCCCAGGCACCCAGCAGCCTGTGGTGCTGTGAGAGACCATTCCCATCCTTGTGAGAGTACTGCCCACTCTGTTACTTGCCTGGCCGCTACACTGAGGTAGAGAGGGCAGGTAGCACCGTGTGGGTGGGAGAGGTGAGGGGGTCACATGTCCCTGATCTGCTTCCCCACATACCCCCCAGTAGGTCTGGCCTGGGGGCTCTTGGCCTCTGTGGCTGCCATCTCCTATGGTCACTATCCAGTCTGGAGTTCTATTTTGATGCCATGAAAACTTTGTTTATATATAATGTTTATATATTTTAAAGATTTGTGCCAAAAGAGTATATTTAATAAAAATTTAAATAACTTTCACTTCTCACTTCTTCAACTCTGGCCCCTCCCCCATGCTGTGAACTTCAGCTCTGAGATGGGGCAGAGGCTATTAGGCTCTCTTAAATATTTTGTGTATGGGTGCTTTGTCTACATGTATGTCTGACTGAATGCCTGGTGTCTGAGACCAGAAGAGGGCATGAGATTCTCTGAGCTGGAGTTACAGATGGTCATGAGCTGCCATGTGGGTGCTGGGAACTGAACCTGGATCCTCTCCAAGAACAGCCAGTGCTCTCAGATTGCTGAGCCATCTCTGCAGCCCCCTGGTCACCCTTGTTAAGAGAGTTGAGGTTTCCAAGATGTTGCCCAAGCACTGCGCATCTTTCTGCTCAGAGATGCATGTGTGACACAGGCTCCTGGGAATGGAAGTGATGGCCAAAGTTGGAGAAATGGGCTGGGGTGTAACTCTGCAGTAGAGCTCCAGTCTAGAATCCCAAAGATGGGCTGGGGGAGTGGATCTGGGGTAGAGCACTTACTGCTACACAAAAGATCCTGGGTTCCTTTGCCAGCACACACACACACAAGCAAGAATATAGTAACCACACAGCTGAACCTGCCAATAAAAAATGCTTCGTATATTTATTTATATATCTGAGATATATAATCCAGGCTGACTTCAACTTCTTGCATAGTGCCAGCTGGCCTGCCTCTGTCATTATTGGCAACCACAGACATCAGCCACTGGAAAGCAGCCCAGCCCCCCACCAGCCAAGTGCTGGGGTAGGACCATCTGTGGTGTGTGCCCTCCACTCTGAAGTCACTCTCGGGTCCTCCAGAGCAGAGCCTTGGTTTTTCAGGATTGTCTGCTTTTTGCACCCCTGCAGGGCATATCACCCTTTGCTTGCCCATCCTTGATGCCCATGGAACCTTCCTCAAGCTCCCACAGCTTTGTGCCAGTTTGGGAGCCTCTCCCAAGAGTCAGGAAAATCCCGCGGGTTCATGGCACACACATATTAGTCATAAAGACCTGAGCTCCTAAGTGGGACAGAGCAGCACAGGTGTGATCCCAGCACCACTAGAGACCTTGTCTCAAAGGTAGAAGGCAAATCCTACGTGCCAAGCTGTCCTCCTGGCCTCTCATAATGGCACTTGTGGGCCTGGACAACAGTCACATTCCTGAGTCCTTTCCACCTCTCCAGAGTGAGCCCTCAGGGCTGTGACAGCACTGCTCCTGGCCACTGGCAGTGTTACTAGGCAGCGCTACAGGAGGCCTCCATTTTTATTTTCAATATACATTTCCATATGTAGGAGGGCCACACAGCACATGCATGTCTCATGAACACGTGCACATACAGTCACAGGACCGGGACAGCGCTGGAGTTGGTGGTGACCCTCAGCAGTCATCTCACAGCATCCAAGGCTGGTGACAGTTCTGACTTTCCTCTCCCCCTTGTTTTGGAGACATGATCTTGTTACTAGTCTAAACTAATCCCCCTGCCTCAGCCTCCCCAGTGTGCTGGGAGATGGGCATGGTGACTTTGTCTCATTCCCTCCTAGTGATAGTGATAGACCCCAGGGATACGTGGATGCTGGGCCTGAGCTCCACCCCTAGCTTTCTGGCAATCTCTAACCTCCTCCGTTTTTCTACTCCTGCCTAGTACCGCTCTCCTAAGCCCTTCTCACCACCCAGGTCTCCCCTGCTTATCTCCCTAGCCTCTGGCATATCTCTATAAAAGTGGCCCACCCCTTTTATTTGAGAGCAGCCTCCCACTGACATCCTACACACACATGCAGGCATGCACTCTAGCGTGTACACACACACACACACACACATAAATACACACTTGAGGACCATGGCCTCCAGGTCCAGGGAACCTGATTCAAGGGGTCCATGATCTAGGCACTGAGGTGAGAGATGGTGGTGAGTTTCTACCCTTACCCCCAGGTCATCTAGGGGCACTGAGGTACACACACAGGGGATGGACAGTTCCAAGCCAGTGCCTAGTGGCATCACGCTAGGAAAGTGCCAGGTGCTGGTGGAAATAGAGGCCGAAGAGGCTGGAGAGCAGCTGGCAGGCAGCAGTCCACCAGATGAGGTAGGCCAGCACGCCACGGAGTAAGAGGGGCGCAAGCAGGCCACCCAGGACCCCTGCGACTTGGGCCGCGGTCTGCTGGGCTTCATCCTCCGCTGGGTTCACAGAGATCAAAATGTTTGAAGACTGGCGCGGGGTCAGTGGGGTTGGAACAGGGCCCAGGGTCCAAGAGTAGCCGCCTGCAAGAGGGAAAAAGGTGGAGACAGAACAGTGGGGGTCTACTGGTGCTCATACCCTACCCACTAGGTTATACCCCACTGACTTTAGGGGGCCTCCATCCTCCCCTGTCTGCTGGCCCCTTCCTGTCCCCACAGGAAAACTGTGGCCTTGGCCAAACTCTGCCCTCACTTTCTAAAGCTGGCCCCACCCTTAGCCCTGCTCAGACCCTATAACCAGCTTTATCGAAGGCCCCACCTTACCAGATCTGGCCCCACCCTCTTTCCCCACCAGCCCCGCACCCAAGGTCTTGAGCAGCAGGGTGCAGTGCAGAGTAAGGATGAGCGGAGTCAGGTACTGCAGGCTCACCACCGTCACATAGCAGTAGACCCGGACCACCTGGTGGGGAGGCAGTAGAAGCTGCAGAAGGAGCGATCTTCCCAGGGCAGGGACCCTACGAACGGGCCCCTTTAGCCCAGGAACTGTCCCACTCGGGGTGCATACCCGCTGCTGAATCTCACGGGCCTCAATGCGGCCAGCCTCCTTGCGCAGCTGCTCCACTCGAGTCTTGGCCAGGCAGAGGTAGGCCTGCAGGTGTGGCCGGGTCACGGCTAGCCGCAGCAGGCACAGCGCCACCAGCACCCAGAGACGCAGGGAATCGAAGGCCCCTTCTGACGGCCTGCAACAAGAGCCAAGCAGGCAGGGATTTGGGGTGAGCCCTCGTTCCCCAGGCCACAATCTTTGCAGTTCATCCCCGGTCTCAGACACCCCAGGTCCCTCAGTGCCCCGCCCTGACACACGCACATAGAGGAGGTCACGTTCCTCAAGGGTGCCTGGTAGAAGAAGTCACGAGCGATAGGCTTTGTCCAGAGCCACAGGGTGCACAGGGGCGACAGGAAGCTGGTGTGCAGGAGCAGCCTGGGGGGAGTACAATGCTGGGGCCAGTCTCCTGACCTCCAGCCTCTAAGTCAACCTCCCACCGCACCCTGGGAGCCCCGCCTAACTGCAACAGCGGCCGGTCTGCAGACAGAGTCAGTGCGTCCTGGTGCGTCTGCGCCAGTCTCAGGCCTGGGAAAATGAGGAAGGCGCCCAGCAAGGAGCCCAGCATCGCCAGCCCAAGGCGGATGACCAGCTTGATCACCGGGAGTCTGAGAAGAAAAGGTCTCAGGGAATCTATGATTGGTCAGGATTCAGCCTGGGGAGGCTGTGATCCTCCCTCTACCTGTACCTCCCCTCAAGATCCAGTCCCCAGGACTCACGCCCAGTCCCAATCCTGTTTCTTCAGCACAGGTTCCAGGTTCTGGGTCACGCTGGCCAGACCTAGAGGAAGAAGATCAAGTGTGTGGATTGTTAAGGTTTCCAAGGCTGGCCAGCCTTCCAGCTCCCAGAAGCCACCCAGCTCTGCCTCCACAGTGTGGAGTTTACAGGCATGGGCAGCCAATCTCCACCTTTGACATGGCTGCAAACTCCCGTCCTCATGTTTGCGGAGCAAGCGCTGTCACACACTGCCTGAGCCCCAGCTCAGGCAATCTATTTTATCTTTTTTTTTTTTTTTTTTTTTTTTTTCTTTTTTTTTTTTTTTTTTTTTTTTTTTTTTTTTTTTTTTTTTTGCCTGTGAATGTTTTGCCTGCATGTATATCTGTTTTCCATGTGTGCATGGCACCTGTGGAAGTTGGAAGAGGATATCAGATCCCCTGGAATTGGAGTTAAAGGTGTTTGTTAGTCTCCATGTGTTTGCTGGGAATTGAACTCAGGTCCTCTGGAAGAGCAGCCAGTGCTCTTAACCACTGAACCATCTCTCCAGCCCCAGAAAATCTATCTTAATTGCACTTATATTTTCCCATGCTGGAATGCAACCCAGAGCCTCCACATGTCCTGCGCAGGTGCCCCATCACTGAGCCACACAGAGACCTGCTAGGTGGAACTCTTCAAGAAATAGGACCTAGGGCTGGGGAGATGGCACAGAGGAGGCACTGGCTGCTCTTCTAGAGTCCTGAGTTCAATTTCCAGCACCCACATGGTGGCTGGAAACCATCTGTGTAATGGCGTCTGATTCCTTCTAGTGTGCATGAAGACAAAGCATTCATATATGTAAATAATTTTTGTTGTTTTGTTTTTCGAGACAGGGTTTCTCTGTAGCTTTGGAGCCTGTCTGGCCTCGAACTCTCAAAGATCTGCCTGCCTCTGCCTCCCAAGTGCTGGGATTAAAGGTCTGCACCATCACCGCCTGGCAAAAGAAATAAATCTTAAAAAACAAACAACAACAAAAACTACTGGAGAGCTGGCTTAGCAGTTAAGGGCGCTTGCTGCTCTTTCACAGTGGCTCCGGTTCTGGGGGTCCAGTGCCCTCTTCTGGCCTTTGCAGGTACTTCACAACCCCGATACAGAGACACACACACACCATGGCAAAGCACCCATACATATGGAATAAAAATAAGCCTTTAAATATAGTAATAACAGCCAGGAGGTGGTACCACACACCTTTAATCCCAGCACTCAGGAGGCAGAAGTAGGTGGATCTCTGTCAGTTCAATGCCAGCCTGGTCTACAAGAGCTAGTTCCAGGACAGGCTCCAAAGCTACAGAGGAACCCTATCTTGAAAAAACAAAACAAACAAACAAAACAAAAAATAGCAATGACATAAATCTTTTTTTTAAAATCTGTGCATTGGTGTTTTGCCTGCATTAGGGTGGAACTGAGTTGCAGACAGCATGTGGGTGCTGAGGATTGAACACAGGTCCTCTGGAAGCACAACAGCCAGTGCTCTTAACCGCTGAGCCACCTCTCCAGATCCCGTGATAATACACACCTTAATTCCAGTATGCAGGTGGCTGAGGTCAGAGGATCCCGAGAGCTCACGGTCAGCCGGGACCATAGAGTGAGACCCAGTTTCAGAAGAGAAAAAGAAACAGAAAGTGAACTCAAGCAGGGAGCACACCTACCTGGCTCCAGACCCAGCTCCAGGAGCTCCTCCCGCACCACCTGCACTAGCATGGCTAAGAGCAGGGAGAGGAGGGCGGAGGTGAGGCAGACTGCGCGCTCGCCGCCCTCTCTGGCACTGAAGTACAGTCGGGTCACCATGAGGAACACCTTGCTGGAGGTGGGGTTAAGAAAGCCAGGGACAGACTAGGCAGAGACAACTCTGCAAGAACTGACCTTGGGCACCTGGAGTCTAAATTTGAGGTAGGATCGGGTGAGCTGGGGTGCTGGTGTTTGGTTGGAGGTGGCCTAATGACCTATGAACGATCAGAAAGCATATGGCAGCTGCAGCTAGGGGATGAGGGGTAGTGAAAAGCCCACACGGGTGGCATCTGATGCTACAGAAAAGCCAGAAACTGTTTCTTCCTTAGGGGGACTGTGCTGGGAATGGAGCCCAGCCTCTCCTGGCTGGACCCAGGGGCCTCTCCGCGCATGCTCAGTCAAACCCACCCCTCCTCACCCAGTCGCCCATACATGTTTAAGAACACACTCGTTGCTTTCATGAAGCCCCTTGAAATTCTCCTAAGGGGCGGCCCAGGTTGCAGTCAGCTGTGAATGGCCAGCCTGGTCTACAGAGTGAATTCCAGGACAGCCAGGGCTACACAGAGAAACCTTGTCTCAAAAAACCAAAGAAACAAACAAAAAAAGATGAGCCAGCTCCCAGCAAGCTGTCCCCTCGTTTCCATGATCCTATAGACCTGGAGGGGCAGAAACCCATCCAGTGGTCCAACCCAAGACGGTGCAATGACACAGCTGTCGCCCCAGCACTTGGGAGGGCGAGTCTGGAGTCTGAGGTCATGCCGTAACTCGGGGGCAGGTCTGTGGCACACAGTGACACACAGATTACAGTTAGAGGGACAAGGGGCTCAGGCCTGAGTCCCGCTGGAGGAAGGATACAGACAAAAAGCCAGTGTGAGCAGGCACCAGAACACGGCAATGTTGGTCTCCTGGACTGGGCCCAGCACAAAATAGTAGACCTCCGTGAAGAGGAACACACCGACGGAGTACACCGCGAAGTCCACGAACCACTGGTATTCCAGAAAGAAGCGCAGGACTGCAGGGACAGGAGTCCAGCTGCCTACTGCAGGCTTGCCCGTCCCCACCTCACCCCCAGGCAGGGTGACCCCATAGCTGGGGTGGGGAGTAGGTGCTGGACCGGGTGTTACCTAGGGCATCCGCAGCAGTGAGGGGACAGGTCTGCAGCTGGAAAGGGGCGTCTCGAGGCACTGACAATGGCTTCTCGTCATGAAGGCCATTTGCCCACCTGAGCACATGAGGACAGTGAAAGGTGGGCCCAGCGATCTCCTCTGGGCCTGCCAGAGAACCAGGACGGTGCTGGCTTGGGAAGAATCTTCAGCTACGTTAGGTGGGGGGCAGCCTAGGCACAGGGCCAGCACAGAGCAAACAGCCAGGAATCCCGCACCGAAGCAGGAGGGCGGGTCACGTCCCCCAGCCTCGAGCCCTCGCCCTCGGGCAGGAGTGAAGCCTGCCCCTGGGCAGGAGAGCATAGGAGAGCCTGGGCCCTGTGGAGTCAAATGGGGACCACTCACCTGTCCTTCCTGCCTCTGTGCCTTGGTTTCCCTGCCAGCACCCGCAGTTCCTCCTCTGACGGGTGTATGTAGCGGAACAGACTGAGGATGAAAAAGAGTCGGGAAAGCTTGGCCTGGGGGCACGAGGCAAAGAACCCAAATTTGGTCTTGAGGACAGAGCCCTGGGCAGCGCAGAGGTGCAGCAGGGTGGCCCTGTGGGAAGGTGGCCCAGAGTGCCTGGGAGTGGCCATAGCCAGGGAATTCTGGGGACTGATCCAGCCACAGGGGGCTAGGGAACCCAGGATACCCTTAAGTCTGTGAGCTTTTAGAGTCCAGCACCCCGAAGGCCGAGGTACCTCTGGCCTCCCCAGGTATCTGCGCTCCTGGGCACAACCCCACACGTGGAGACACACACCTACACATAATTAAAAGTAATTTCTAAAGAAGGAGAGAAGGAGGAACTGGGCAGGCTCTGCCCACGGCCGGCGGGACAGGGCTTACTCACCTGCCGTTACAGAGCAGCCAGCGGGCAAAGGAGCCATGTGGAGCCAGCCTGTGCATGAGGGTGGCAGCGAACAGGGTCACCACCAGCTGCACTCCGAGGGCCGCCTGAGGAAGCGGCTCTAGTCAGAAAGTTCAAAGCTCCCTGAAGTAACCCAAGCTATTTATAGGGAAGATAGGCGAATGAGGAGGGCTGGCCTTGGGCCCTGGTGGCAACTGGGATGACGCCAGAGTTCATTCTGGGGGTCCCAGACATCCCCCCCCACACCCTCAGATGACGGGGCCTGACTTCTGTTCCTACTGTCAGACCCCTGAACCCCTTTCCCTGTGTATTTTTGTTTGTTTGTGAGCCCTGGTTGTTCCTATGCAGCCAAGAACCCACAGGAACCTGCCTGCCTCTGGCTCCCCAGTGTTAGGATCAAAGGCCAGAGCCACCACATCCAACTATCAAAGAATATTTCCTAGGCCAGCCTGGACTACAGAGCCAGTTCCAGGACAGGCTCCACAGCTACAGCGAAACCCTGTCTCAAAAAACACAAACAAAAATTTTTTTTTTTTTTTTTTTTAGCTCAGTGGTTGTGGCGCATGCCTTTAATCCCAACACTCAGAGGCAAAGGCAGGCGGATCTCTGTGAGTTTGAGGTCAGCCTGGGGTACAGAGTGAATTCCAGGCCAGTCAAAGCTACACAATAAGGCCCTTTCTAAATAACAATGTTTTCTGTGAAGACAGGGTTTCTCTGTAGCCCTGGCTGTCTTGGAACTCACTCTGTAGACCAGGCTGGCCTCAAACTCACAGAGATCCATCCGCCTGTCTCTGCCTCGTGGGTGCTGGGATTAAAGACGTGCTAACTCCAGTCCCAGGGAATCCTACAACCTTCTCCGACCTCTAAGGACAGTAGATACACACGGGGTGCACAGACATACATACAAAACATCCATGATAACAAAATAAAATATCTTAAAACAAAACGGAAATTCAAGCATAGTGGCACACGCCTGTCATCCCAGCACTCTGGAGGCGAAGGCAGGAGAATCAGAAGTTCGAGAACACCTGAGACTACGAAGAAGTTGTAGTACAACTTGGGCTACATGAGACCCTGTCAGGAAGCAAACACAGCTGCAAACCCTTCACTCCTAAGGAGTCCTGCACCACCGACTACACCCCACTTCCGTCGACGACCGGCCTCCCAGCCTTCGGGGTCCCTCTCAGCTCTGCCAGGCGGTCCTCCACCCACGCAGTCCCTGTGCCTCGCTCCACATGGCTGAAGCCCACACTGACCCAGGGAGGGACCCCCAGAGGGCCTGCTCACCATGTCCGCTCCCGAGCGCACCAACGCACACGGCTGGAGGCGGGTAAGAGCCGCGGAACTTGGCCAATTAGAGACGGGATCTTGTTGACCGGCAGCCTGAGAAGCCGGTCATAGGGCTAAGAACGAGGAAGGCTTCGCAATGCCTGCCGGGAATTGTAGTTCTAACAGGTGCTTTTATGTCTGTTGTCTTTCCCACTTTTTTCTTCCTTATCTCCCTTCTTTTCTTGTTTGTTTTTCTTGACGTGTGCGTGTGCGTTCGTGCAGACTTGTGTGTGTGTGTGTGTGTGTGTGACAGTTCCTGTGTAATCCAACTCTCTATGTAGACTAGACTGGCCTGAATTAAGGCACACACCACTATGTTGGACCTCCTCCCTCCTTTTTTTTAATTGATTTTTTAAAAAACGTCATAGCCGGCATTGGTGGTGCACTTTTAAATCCTAGCACTCAGGAGTCAGAGGCATCACCTTGAGTTCAAGGTCAACCTGGTCTACAGAGCTTTATGCCGTGTTTTTAAGTAAGGCTGTGAAATGTCAAGAAATAGATTTGGATCAGGAGATGTTAATGAAACTAATGATTCAAGCTAGTCTTGCTGAAATTCATAGCAACATGTGGGTACGAAATGGTCTGCAAATCAAAGGACAAGCCATGACCTATGTCCAGTCTCATTTCTGCAATTCCATGATTGATCCAGACATTTATTTATTACAGGTCTGTGCTTCTAGACTTGATCCAGATTACTTTATATCGTCTGTCTTTGACAGATTTAAGGAGGTGGACTTACTGACCATGGCTTTCCAGCACCACAATACCGTACTTGATGTGGAGCATGAGCGGTCAATGCTGGAGGGCGTACTCACCTTCCCCGTGATTCTTCTGAGTCTTCGCTTACACTTAGAATGTCTGATGATGAGATTCTCAGGGCAGAGATGGTGGCCCAGCTGTGTATGAATGACAGGACACATAGCTCTTTGCTTGACCTCATCCCAGAAAATCCCAACCCCAAAAGTGGTATTATTCCTGGAAGTTACAGCTTTGAATCAGTTTTATCTGCTGTAGCTGATTTTAAGGCTCCTGTTTTTGAACTTGGAGGCTCTATGCAACAAGGCATGTATACTCCTAAAGCTGAAGTCTGGGATCAGGAATTTGACCCCGTCATGGTCATTCTTCGAACAGTTTACCGCCAGGATGTGCAATCTGCCATGGACAGATATACAGCCTTTTTTGAGTTCCAGTCCGGCATAACACTGAGAAACCTTGTATCAAAAAAACAAAAAATAGGGTCTGGAGAGATGGCTCAGTGGTTAAGAGCACTGACTGCTCTTCCAGAGGACCCGGGTTCAATTCCCAGCACCCACATGGCTGCTCACAACTGTCTGTAATTCTAGTTCCAGGAGACCCAAAACTCATGGCAAAACATCAGTGTACATCAATGAAGGCATAAGTCACAAACAATGCCACACCAGTTTGGAATTATGATTAATAGGGTGGTATTTATTTAAAGGGGAAAAAACTTACAGATAACTGTCCCAGACAACAGCCCTCTGCGCAATCAGGAAGGAGTCTAGTCGCCTGAAACAGAGCAGGAAGCAAAGAGAGAGAGAAGGGAAATAGCTGCTTTTTTAAAGGGAGAGAGACCACGCCCCAATGGGCTGATATCTCAGTGGCTATAGGCTGGAGGAGCAGAAGGACCTCCTGCAACACCTCCCCCTTTTGTTTAAGTAAGAGAGTTCTAAACCTACTACGAAATTATATACAATAAATACAAATATACTATTCTAACTAGCTTAGATCTTGTATAATAAATAACTTGGCCAAGTCATGAGAGAAAAGTAACTACATTTATATAGTCTTCAACCCCATCGAAGATATGAGAAGGAAAATAATGTTACCTGGGTAATTAGGAAGTTCAGTAAAACAACAACAAATGAACAAAATTAAAATATGAATAAATGGTGTTGTCATTGAAGTTCTGACAGACACAGGTGCAGAAGTACCAATAATTTCATCAGAATCTTGGCATCCAAATTGGCCTCTTCAGGATGTAAATTTTCAGTTTTTAGGGATTGAAACTTTATCTCAGATAAAGCAGGACATGAGATGGGTCAAATTTATAAGGCCAGAAACACAGAGAGAAATACTAAAATCATATGTGGCTAACATAGCAATGAATTTGTGTGGATGTGATTTGCTAAAGCAAAGGAATACTCAGATTAACATTCTCCCAATTTTAAAACAAACTATAAATTCATGTATGTTTCTGGGGAAAATATTAGAAGGTATTATAATGAGCAGTCATTGACCATTCAGGTTATATAAGAACAGGACACAACAGCTGCTAATATTTCAAGGGCACCAATCGCCCTACCTTTCAAATGGTTCACAGACAAACCTGTATGGGTGGAGCAATGGCCTTTAACAATGGAGAAGCTACAGGCTTTAGAACAGCTGGTACAGGAGCAACTAGATGCTCAGCATATTGAAGAATCAACCAGCCCTTGGAATTCTGTATTTGTTGTTAAAAAGAAATCTGGAAACTGGAAATGGTAGCAGATCTAAGAGCTGTTAATAAGGTGATTCAGCCAATGGATTCTCTACAGTCTGCCATTCCTTTGCCTTTGCTATTGCCTAAAGGATACTTTCTTATCGTTACTGATTTAAAAGATTGTTTCTTCACTATACCTTTACAAGAAAAGGACAGAGAAAAAAATTGCATATGAAGGCATAAGTCACAAAACAATCCCACAACAGTTCAGAACTATGAATAATAAAAGAGTTATTTATTTAAGGGGAAAACTTAAAGATCACTGTCCTAGACAACAGCCCTCTGAGCAAACAGGAACAGAGTCTAGTAGCTGGAAGTGGGAGCCAGAAGCAAGAGAGCAAGCACACAGCTACTGCTGCTTTTTAAAGCAAAAGAGACCACACCCAAGTGGGCTGGTATCTTAAAGGCTATTGGCTGAAGGAGCAGATGGAGCTCCCACAGCTCCATCTTTTGTTTAAATAAGAGAGTTCCAACCCAATACAAAATAATATACATTAGGAAGAGATATCAAATATAAGATTAGAATTACAACCAGCATAAACAATATTAAGCATGGAACATATGCTAAGTGTTTTAACAAACATTCTATCCTAAGGAGTCTAAGTCTTGTATTGGAAATGGCTTGGCTAGATCATAAGAGGATGGTAACTATGACTATCTAATCTTCAATCCTATCAAAGGCCTGAGAAGGGAGATAATATTACTTGAGTAAGCAGGAAGTGCAATCAAGCAGCTTCCAAATGTGCAGTAGATGACAGAGACAACTGGCTGCCTGAGCAATCACACAAAGTCTCATTTGCAATGTGGAAGCAACCAACTTTGGCTAAGGCCTAGAATAACCGACAGACTATTTTCAGAGGCAGGAAAATTTTCAAAACCATCTTATCCTGTCTTGGCAAGATTTCACAGTTTTGCTTATCCAATTCTGGATATCATGTACCTTGTCAGTGTTTGAGGCATGGGCAGTTCCTTAACCAAAGGCCAGATTTGCCAAGAAGAAAACAAGCTCCAAGTGGAGTGTATTTGGTACTCAACATTCTCTCGGGAATAGATTAGTGCTGCCAGAGGCAATCATGTCTCATGTCAACAGAACCCTAAATTATTTAAATGCCATGTTCCACAGATCCTTGAAGTGGTTGAAGATTCCCTATCTAGACGGAAGACAATCTCTATGTATCTAAAGAACCTAATTGATCTGACTGTATTGCAACAAACATGAACAACTATTGACCTATAATAATTAATACCTGTATAACTTAAAGAATAAAACTTCATGTCAGAATATCAAATAATCTGTAAACAAATGTGCAACAAATGAGGACAATGACCTCAAAATGTAAATAATCTGTAAGTATCTTGATCAGGGCTAAAAGTAATATATCATGCAATATGAAACTATACCCTAAAATTATATCAATATACAAAATGTCCTAAACCAAGATAGAAACACGCATATATACAATCTGACAAAATAGCTTTGCATAGGTGTACAAATATGTAAACAAAAGTAACAAATATAATTTGAACTTGTATCAATATACAAAAACTATACCAATGTAAATTATCCATAAATAATAGCTCACAAGTATTCACTCTATTACCCACTATTACTATCCCCTTTTTTTTGAACAAACATAGTTTTTACCCCAACTTTCTATCTACTACAAGTAATAATCAAGAACCCCTAAACAGTGTTCCCAACCCTATGGGCAAACTATTTTTGGGATGAGGGTGTCATCTTCTAGAATTGCTTCCTGCTGCCATGGTGGCAATGTTCTCTTTAATGGGATCCTGCAAAATTAAAGTGATGGTTAAGTTTCAAAATTACTGTCTACTATAACTGCAAACAATTTCCGAGCAGTTGATAGATAGTTTTTATTTTAAAGTTCTTATTTGGAGTTCTGGCCAGAATGTCATGAGAAGGTGCACTATTTCAGCAGCTGGTACCCAAAAAAAGAAGCAGTCTTATGTTAGCACTGTCAGCATCACAATGTCATCTCAACTAGGTGGAGATGTTGCTGTGGGGCCCCATCTTCTTCCTGGAAACTTCAAAGATTACTGCAGGAAAAGGATCTGTAGGAAAATCTATTGTTCATCATGGAAAACTTAAACATCATTCATATAAACATAATTCAGTAAAGAATATGATATAGACAAAATAGGCATGGAGAAAGTAAAA